AATAGGATACTCAACAGCAGAGGGGAATGAGTTAAATCCATTGTAGTACATTATTAGGCAGTTATCAAATATTATAATTATGAAGCTTATGTAACGAAAATGTTTATAATGTAATGTTCACTGAAAAAAAACACAAGTGTGCATTCATCATGACTAAAAATATGTAAAAAGTATTTGGACTAGGCAGAAAGGTATACAAACTTATGGGTAGCTTTATAGCTTAAATTTCATTTAATATTGATATTTTATTTTTATAATTAAAAATTAAGCAAAAACATGTGCATGACACTTCAAATTGGTGGGAGAAATGGTGGCAAGTGGTTAGATCTGGGTGTATGTTTACCCATGTCTCACTCTAATTTTTTTAAAAAATAGTAATTATTTTTATCATCATGATGTCAGAGTTAAATTTATAAATAAAAAGTGTGCTATTTCAGAATTTGAATAGACATATTTTAATTTTCTTTACATTTTTATATCAAATGCAAACGCTGATGATAACTTGAATTTAGTACTAGAATTACTGTTATTTTAGTCATTACAGCATTACGATTTGCTAAAAAGAAAGGTAATGATTACGGTGATATTTTAACAGTAGGGATCACAGAAGTGCTTTTTTGTGGCATCTCGTGAAATAATTATTAATAATATAATTAATTTACATATCAGTAAATCAATCATCCTAGCTTTTGAAATAAATAAATAAATTTCAGGGACAGTTTTTTTTTTTAAGAACAATAAAAACACTGAAAAAAAAAAAAAACAAAAATGAAAGAACAGTAAACACAACACAAGGTCATGTGTAGCACATGCACCCAAGGTGAGACCACACTTTGAGTTGCTGCACCCAAAGACAGAATGTGCAGCTTGCCAGACCATAAACTGGTTGTGTGGATCCCCCTGATGATCTGACCTTTGGCTTCATCTGAGTGACTGTTCGGGATACAGCCAGTAGCTGGCCTGGAAAGCGTGGTAGGCGGTGGACAGGGCAAAGCCACAGAGAGAGGCCTGGCCCTTACAACAGCCAGTCTTCCTGGCCACCCCCGCCCACCCCACCTCTTCTGTTCATACACCAGCTAACTTGGTCCCTCAGCCTGGCTTGGGAGAGACAGAGCGTCATCTTGTTCTTGTATGTGGGAAGGCTATGAAAAGAAAAACCCTTGTTGACCCAAACATTTAAACAAGAATTACACTGGGATCTTTTGTTCTCACTTTGATATGATCAGAATTAATTTGGAGGTTCAAAAGAGGGTATGTTTGTTTTTAGTTCTTAATCTGAGTTACTTAATGCAAAGATACGGTGGGGGTAGGGGAAGAAAGGTAAAAAAAAAAAAAAAAAAACCCATCACATAAGTCTATTAAATGGTATTGGAACATCCCCAAGTCATTCCTCAGGGCACTATTTTGTTAGTGCTTAGGAGGCTCCAGACTCAGACTTTATATCCAAGCTGCTGACTGGACTTCTTGTGAAAAGACCTAGATGGTGGAAAGCAGTGGAGTGTGTCTCGGTGTCTGAGAAATATACAGGTAGACCTTAAGAGATCTTAATCTTTTTTCTTCTCTCCCTCCTCAGGTTTAATAGGGAAAACCTGCTTTCTGCAAGCAAGTGAAAAAGCTGCCCTTAGAAACTATTTCTTTGCCCCTCATAGAGTAGCTGGAACTTGTACTGTGAGGCCCTTGATGGGATAAGTTCTCACCTGCTGATCACCCAGTGACCATCACCATGGCCAGTAAGAGGAAATCCACCACCCCATGCATGATCCCAGTGAAGACTGTAGTGCTGCAGGATGCCAGCGTGGAGGCCCAGCCTGCTGAGGCCTTACCCCAAGGACCCCAGCAGGATCTGCCCCCAGAAGTGCCTGCCACCAGCAGTGAAGCAGCCCAGAATTCCAGCAGCACTGATGGCTCTGCACTGGCCAACGGGCATCGGAGCACTTTGGATGGCTATTTATATTCCTGTAAATACTGTGATTTCAGATCCCACGACATGACCCAGTTTGTGGGACATATGAACTCAGAGCACACAGACTTTAATAAAGACCCAACTTTTGTATGCGCTGGGTGCAGTTTTCTGGCAAAAACCCCCGAGGGGCTTTCCCTGCACAATGCCAAGTGTCACTCGGGGGAAGCCAGCTTTGTGTGGAACGTGGCCAAGCCAGACAATCATGTGGTCGTGGAGCAGAGCGTCCCCGAGAGCACCAGCACCCCTGACCTAGCAGGTGAGCCCAGTGCCGAAGGGGTCGATGGACAGGCAGAAATCATTATTACCAAAACTCCAATCATGAAGATAATGAAAGGCAAAACTGAAGCCAAAAAAATTCACACGATCAAGGAGAATGTCCCCAGCCAGCCTGTGGGTGAAGCCTTACCAAAGCTGTCGGCTGGAGAAACAGAAGTGAAAGAGGGGGACCACTCCTTCATCAATGGGGCTATCCCAGTCAGCCAGGCATCTACCAGCTCTGCAAAACCCCCGCATGCTGCCAATGGGCCCCTGATTGGAACAGTGCCGGTTCTGCCGGCTGGTATAGCACAGTTCCTATCTCTCCAGCAGCAGCCCCCAGTGCACACCCAGCACCATGCCCACCAGACACTACCCACATCCAAGGCCCTTCCCAAAGTGATGGTCCCCCTAAGCAGCATTCCAGCATACAATGCGGCCATGGACTCCAACAGCTTCCTGAAGAACTCCTTCCACAAGTTCCCCTACCCAACCAAAGCCGAGCTCTGCTATTTGACTGTGGTGACCAAGTATCCAGAAGAGCAGCTCAAGATCTGGTTCACAGCCCAAAGGCTGAAGCAGGGCATCAGCTGGTCCCCTGAGGAGATCGAGGATGCCCGGAAGAAGATGTTCAACACAGTCATCCAGTCTGTGCCTCAGCCCACAATCACGGTTCTAAATACCCCACTGGTCGCCAGTGCTGGCAACGTCCAGCATCTCATCCAGGCTGCTCTCCCAAGTCACGTTGTGGGACAGCCAGAGGGTACCGCAGGGGGTCTTCTGGTCACTCAGCCACTGATGGCCAATGGGTTGCAAGCACCAAATTCATCTCTCCCCCTCACCGTTACATCTGTCCCCAAGCAACCAAGCGTGGCACCCATTAACACTGTGTGTTCAAATACAACGTCAGCCGTGAAGGTGGTCAATGCAGCCCAGTCACTCCTCACGGCCTGCCCCAGCATAACTTCCCAAGCCTTCCTTGATGCAAGCATCTATAAAAATAAGAAATCTCATGAACAGCTGTCAGCTCTGAAAGGGAGCTTCTGTCGGAACCAGTTCCCAGGGCAGAGCGAAGTTGAGCATCTGACCAAAGTGACTGGCCTCAGTACCAGAGAGGTGCGGAAGTGGTTCAGTGATCGGAGATACCACTGCCGGAACTTGAAGGGCTCCAGAGCCATGATGCCTGGAGATCACGGCTCCATCATTATTGACTCTGTGCCAGAGGTGTCCTTCTCCCCATCGCCCAAGGCCCCCGAGGTAACCTGCATCCCGGCAGCAGCCACAATAGCAACCCACCCTTCTGCCAAACGACAATCTTGGCACCAGACTCCTGACTTCACACCAACCAAATACAAGGAGAGAGCCCCTGAGCAGCTCAGAGCCCTGGAGAGCAGTTTTGCACAAAACCCTCTTCCTCTTGACGAGGAACTGGACCGCCTGAGAAGTGAAACCAAAATGACCCGAAGAGAAATTGATAGCTGGTTTTCAGAGAGACGGAAAAAAGTGACTGCTGAGGAGACCAAGAAGGCTGATGAGAATGTCTGTCAGGAAGAAGAGGAGGCTGCTGAGGACGAGGGTAGAGAAGAGGATTTGGCCAGTGAGCTGAGGGTCCCTGGTGAAAATGGCTCCCCAGAAGTGCCTGGCAGTCATACCTCGGCAGAGCGCAAAGTCAGTCCCATCAAAATCAACCTCAAGAACCTGCGGGTCACTGAAGCCAATGGTAAGAGTGAGATTCCAGGGCTGGGTACCTGTGAGCCCGAGGACGATGGGTCAAACAAGCTGGCAGAGCAGCCCCCAGGCAAAGTGAGCTACAAAAAGACGGCCCAGCAGCGGCACTTGCTGCGGCAGCTCTTTGTCCAGACGCAGTGGCCAAGCAACCAGGACTATGATGCCATCATGGCCCAGACGGGTCTGCCACGGCCAGAGGTGGTGCGCTGGTTCGGAGACAGCAGGTACGCCCTGAAGAACGGCCAGCTCAAGTGGTACGAAGACTATAAGCGGGGCAACTTCCCTCCAGGGCTGCTGGTCATCGCCCCTGGCAACCAGGAGCTCCTGCAAGACTATTATATGACACACAAGATGCTGTATGAGGAGGACCTGCAGAATCTCTGCGACAAAACCCAGATGAGCCCCCAGCAGGTCAAGCAGTGGTTTGCTGAGAAAATGGGTGAGGAGACCGGGGCTGTGGTGGACACAGGCATTGAGGACCAGGGCCCTGGCGCTGTTGAGCCTGCAGCAGTTTACAAAGGGATGGGTGACACCTATTCAGAGGTGTCTGAGAACAGTGAGTCATGGGAGCCCAGTGTCCCTGAGGCCAGCTCAGAGCCCTTTGACACATCGAGTCCCCAGGCTGGACTTCAGCTAGGTAAGGAGTCCATGGGAGCCATGTCTACCCTCTGTGGGTGAGGGAAGGATGCACTCGGGGTGGGCACTGAGTTTATCACACAGGGGGTATCTGCTTTCTCTAAGGCTGCCTGGCAGCAGGACCAACTGCCTGGTTGCTTCAGGGGACAACTGGCAGAAGAAGTCATGGGGGCATAGTACGATAAAGGGTTGAGAAGTATTTTTTGTTTCATTATATGTTTTTTAAAAATCTGTGCAGGGGGAAGAATACAGTGAACTTAAAGGGGTCCAAGTTTTTCTAGCCATTTCTTAACAATAGGAGAATAGGTCAAAATATCATCTGAGTCAGGCAGATCAATCCACAGTCACTGAGTAGGAGAGTGCAGTAGGACATTAATGGAAATTCAACTTGAATTGGTGAACAAAAGGAGAGAGAGATCCTTTAATTGTCCCTAGATACATGCATTGCTTTTTTTCTGTGATGAAAATCCTATCTTGTATTTCTGTTGTTCTTCCTGATGTAGAAGAAATGTTTGTAATAGTGGAAAATCATCTTCCCTCTTGGACATCTATGGAATCAAAAGCTTGAATTTTGTTCCTCAGTTTCTCTAGATCATACTTGAAAGTAAAAGTTATTTATTTAAAATTTATTTTATTTAAGACATAGATTTGAAGCCACAGACAAGTCATGTTAGTGGGTATTGATTTTCCAGGTTCTTGGTCCATGAGTTCCCAGCCTCTCCCTTCCCTCCCCACCCTTGGTATTTGTCTCCTCATTAGAGGTCCCATCACAGAACAGCTCTAGCTCAGGCTAGAGCCAGGAGGGAGGAGCATTGTAGAAGCTAAAAAGGATTAGGGGTTCTAAAATGGCAGCTCTGCCAGCTGAGTTGGCGTGGTGGAGGAGTGCAGGAGACACCCGGAAAGTATCTGTGCAATTGGGCAGTATGGCAGTTGGCCTCTAGGAACCTTGGCAGGAGCTGCCTCAGTGTGGGGCCTTGTGTTTGGCACCTCATCCCCAGGACTGAATACAGTGCCCTGCCCCTCAGAGATCCCACAGAACTTCCTGTATGGTGTTCCATTGTTTCCATAGCTGACCATTGTTGTTGTTTGTTTGGCCTGGCAAATCCCACCCCAGTTACTTTCTACTTAAGACCTCTAAAAAGACAAATTCTTTTTCTTTCTCTGAATATTTTAAGTTGATTTGAACACAACAATTTGAAACATAGGCTATTGTTTCTTTACTCAGTTAAAGAAAAGGAGACTTCCAAGTCCACCCATAATTTGAGGGTGGCAGGTGCCGTGTTTCCCATCTGTTTAGCATTTGCAGAAAGCCTATTCTTTTCATGCTCACATACTAAGGTGAAAAATCCAGCTCTGCAAAACCCACACTGAAAGCAAACACCTGGAGGAGCACAGAGTTACCAGTCAGCAGTTACGGTGTGAGCACACAGGCACTGGCTTCTTCTGGCCTCCTCCAACTCTGGCCATGTTTTTACTAGGGCAAGACTAGGGGGAAATGCTTCTCCCTCTGGGTCCTACAGCTCACAGATAGTTTCACAACGTGGCTAGTGGCACATCCTGGAGTCAGAGCAGCACATAAATGAGATTTCTTACAGCTCGTTTGACCCTTTTTTAATGCAGAGCAGGTTGTCTCTCCTCTTGAGGGCTTTGTCCAAGTTGGTCTAAGTGTCATTATGTTGCACTCAGCTCTATGCTTCTTGTGATTACCAGTAGGCCAAGGTGTCAGGCTCAAGAGAGATGAGGATGTTTGAATAAGTTTGTTACAAAAGCTAATGTGGGGAGAGAGTGATGTCATGGAAGATGGCACCAGGAGTCTGTTTCTCCACCAAAACAACTATTGAACTAGAAGTAATTGTCTGAAGCAACTATTTTGGAGCTCTGGAGTCTAGTTGAACACTTGCAACATCCAGGGGAGAGCCTGATGGAGAGGCTTGTGAGTTTTGGTGAATTTTCTTGTTTCACAAAATAGCATCCCCTTCCCCCAGCCCTGTAGCAGGTAACTGTGGCCCAGGTTCCTGGTGCAGCCTATTGGTGCCAGGACTTTTGTCCTCTAAAAGTCACTACATTTGATCACTGAGGGGCCAGCACAGAGACTGGTCATTGTTTCAACTCCTAGGGACTGAAGCAGCTTCCTAGCCACAAGGGGATTTAAACAGAGAGCAACCTCTTTTTTTCTTTTCCCTCTTTTGACAAGCCAGACATTTTAGGAAATCTTAGGTCCCTGGTTGGCCACAGAAATGTCAGAACAGAAACTTTAGTGACTGTACACCACAAAGAATATACTTTGTAAAAATAGTTTGGAAAAGTCACAGATGGCTTCAGCTCTTAACAAGCAAAAGTCATCAATCCCTGAGGCATGAGAGAATTAGATTTTTAGTTACTGCAACATAATACTCAGAATGTCCAGTTCTCAACAACAACAAAAAGATGGTTCATTCACAGGAGAAAAAGTATTTGGCAGATACCATCCTTGAGGAAGTCCAGACATTGAAATTATTAGTAAAAGGCATTAAATCAACTGTCTTAAGGATGTTCAATTAGTTAAAGGAAACCATGGACAAGAACTAAAGGAAGTCAGGAAAACTATGCGTGAACAAAATGAGAACATCAATTAGATAGAAACTCTAAAGAGGAACAAGACAAATTCTAGAGCTAAAAAGTATAATCACTAAAGTGAAAAACATACTGGAATGGTTCAACAACAGATTTGAGCAGGCAGAAGAAGGGATCAGTGAAGTTGAAGATAAAACAATTTATCAAAAGAAGCAGAAAGAAAAAAGCAGGAAAGAAAATGAACAGAGCCTGAGGGACTTGTGGGACATATCAAGCATACTAATATGTGCATTATAGGAGTAGCAGAAAAAGATTGAAAAGGGCAGAAAGAATATTTGAAGAAATAATGGCAGAAAATTTCCCAAATATGATGAATGACAAGAATCTATATAACCAAGAAGCTCAATGAACCTCCAAGCAGGATAAATTCAGAGATCCCACACCAAAATATATTATTTGAAATTGTCAGACCCAAAGACAAAGAGAAGATTTTGAAAGTAGCAAGAGAAAAGCAACTCATCACATGCAAGGGATCCTCAATACGGTTAACAGCTGATATCTCATCAGAAACCATGGAGGCCCAAAGGCAGCAGGGTGCTATACCTAAAGCCATGTAAGAAAAAAAATATGTCAACCAAGATTTCTATATCTGGCAAAACTATCCTTCAAAAATGAAAGAGAAATCAAATTTCCAGATAAACAAAGCTGAGGGAGTTCATTACCAGTAGACTTTCCCTACTAGAAATGCTAAAGGGAATCGTTTAGGCTGAAATGAAAGGACACTGAACAGTAACTTGAAGCTGTAAGAAAAAAGAAAAAAAATAGTAAAGGTAACCTTATAGGTAAATAGAAAAGCTGTTACTATTGTACTGTTGGTTTGTAAACTTTTCTCTTTGTCCTGTATAATTTAAATGGCAAATTTAGCTGGAGCCCATGCTACTAAGTGAAGTATCACAAGAATGGAAAAATAGGCACCACATGTACTCACTATCAAATTGGTATTAATTGATCAACACTTACGTGCATACTAATAGTAACATATAATAGTTACATATAATAGTTACTAATAGTTACATATAATAGTAACATTCATCAGTTGTTGGGCAGTGGGAGGGGGGAGGAGGGGATGCGTATATTCACAGCTAATGGTGTGGTGTGCACCATCTGGGATGGACACGCTTGAAGCTCTGACTCAGAAAGGGCAAAGTCAATACATGTAACCTAAACATTTGTACCCCTGTAATATGCTGAAATTAAAAAAAAGATGATATATGCATTATATATATATAATCTCCTGTTGGTATATATGATATAAATAAATGCATATGAGATAAAAAATTATAAATCTCTGTTAATGGGCATACAATATAGTAAGATGTAATCTGTGTCAATTACAAAACAACAAAAGGAAGGGAAATGTATAGGAGCAGTGTTTGTATAATATTGAAACTAAGTTGGTGTTAGACTAAATCATTATGAGTTTAAGATATTAATTATTATCCCCAAGTTGACCACTAAGAAAGTAACTAAAAAATAGAAAAGGAAAGAAGGGAATCAAGATAGCATGTTCCAAATAATCAAATAAATACAAAAAGGCAGTAATGGAGGAACTGAGGATTCAAAAACATATAAGACATACAAAAAACAGCTAAATGGCAGAAGTAAATACAGCTTTATCAGTGATCACATTAATGTAAAAACATTGAGCTCTCCTATTAAAGACAAAGATTGGCAGGTTGGAGTTAAAAAAAAAAACAAAACAAAAACCAGGATTCATCTATATGCTGCCTGTAAGAGACTCACTTTAAATATAAAGACAGAAAGAGGTTGGAAGTAAAAGGATAGAAAAACATGCCGTGAAAATAACAACCAGAAAAGAGCTGGGGTGGCTATATTGTCATCTGACAAAGTAAACTTTAAATCAGAAAAGGTTACAAAAGACAAAGAATATTATATAATTATGATAAAAGATTCATATATATATACCTAACAGAGCCCCAAAATATATGAAGCAAAAAATGACAGAATTCAAAGGAAAAATAAAAATAGTTGGAGACTTTAATACCCCACTTTCAACAATGTTTATAAAAACCAGACAGAAGATCAATAAGGAAAGAGAGGACTTGAACAATACTAAAAACCAATGAGACCTAGTAGACAAAAATGAACACCACCCAACAACAGCAGAATAAACATTCTTCTCAAGTTCACATGGAACATTCTCCAGGATAGACCATATGTTAGGCCATGAAACAAGTCTTAGTAAATTTTTAAAAGTTGAAATCATACAAAGTACATTTTCAATTATAATGGAATGAAGGTAGACAATAAGAGAAGGAAAAATGTAAATATATAAATCTATGGAAATTAACACACCCCAAAATCTAACAGGTCAAAGAATAAATCATAGGGAAAATTAGAAAATACCCAAGACAGGTGAAAATACAATGTACCAGAACTTATGGGATGTAGTGAAAGCAAGCCTCAGAGATAAATCTATAGCTGTAAATGCACACATTAAAAAAGAAGATCTCAAATCGATAACTGTACACTTTAAAGAACTAGAAAAAGAAGAGCAAACTAGGGCCAAAGTTAGCAGAAGGAACAAAATAAAGGTTAGAGTGGAGATAGAGAACAGGAAAATAACAGATAAACTCAGTGAAACCAGAAGTTGGTTTTGGTAAAGATTAACAAAATTGACAAACCTTTAGTTAAATTTACAAGGGAAAAAAAGTGAGCAAGACTCAAGTTACTAAAATCAAAAATGAAAGTGGGGATATTACTACCAATTTTATGTAAATATAAAGGATTATAAGAGAATACTATTAACAGTTATGTGTCAATAAATTGGATAACCTAGATGAAATGGACAAATCCATAGAAACACACACTCTACCAAAACCAACTCAAGAAGAAATAAAAACCAAAATAGATCAATGACTAGTAAGAAGAGTGAATCAGTAACCAAAAACCTCCCAATAAATAAAAGCCTAGGACCAGATGATTTCATTGGTGAATTCTTCCAAATATTTAAGGAAGCATTAACACCAGTTCTCAAACTCCTCAAAGAATTGAAGAGGAGGGAACACTTCCTAACTCATTGTATGAGGCCAGCATTACCTTGATACCAAGCAAGACAAGGACACTAGAAGAAAAGAAGCCTACAGACTAATATCTGTTGTGACTATAGATATAAAAACCCTCAATAAAATATTAGCAAACCAAATTTAGCAGCATATTAAAAGGATTTTAATATGAAAGGTAGGGTTTATTCCTGGAATGAAAGTATTATCCAATGTATGACTATCAATCAATGTAATAATACACCACATTAAAAGAATGAAAGGAACAAAGCCATCTCAATTCAAGCAGAAAGAACATCTGACAAAATTCAACATGCTTTCATGATAACACTCAATAACTAAAAATATGACAAACATGATAAAGACCATATGTGAAAAACCCACAACATCATACTCAATAATGGTGAAAGACTGAAAGGTTTTCCCCTAAGATCAGGAACAAACTCAAGATGCATGATGCCCACTTTTGCCAATTCTGTTTGACATAGTGTTAGAAGTTCTAGTCAGAGCAGTTAGGCAAGAAAAAGAAATAAAAGGCATCCAAATTGGAAAGAAAGAAGTAAAATAACCTCTGTTCACAGATGACATGATCCTGTATGTAGAAAACTCTAAAGAATCCACAAAAAAAGTGTTAGAGCTAATAAATGAATTTGGCAAAGTTTCGGGACAACTTTGTCCTGCACACACAAACACACAAAAATCAGTTGTGTTTAGCTGGGTATGGTGGCCCATGCCTGTAGTCCCAGCTACTTAGGAGGCTGAGGCAGGAGGATCATTTGAGCCCAGGAGTTTGAGGAGACCAGCCTGGGCAACATAGCAAGACTCTGTCTCTTAAAAAAAAAAAAAATCAGTTGTATTTCTATACACTTGAAATGAACAATCTGAAAAGGAAATTTAAAAAACAATTCCATTTATAATAGCATCAAAAAATGTTTAGGAATAAATTTAACCAAGGGGAGAAAAGAAGTACACATTGAAAACTATAAAACATTGCTGAAAAAGATTAAAGATGGCCTAAATAAATGGAAAGACATCCCATGTTCATGGATTGGTATTATTAAGATGACAGTACCACCCAAAGCAATCTACAGATTCAATATAAAACCTATCAAAAGCAAAATGGTGTTTTTAAAGAAATAGAAAAATCCATCCTAAAACTTAACATGGAATCTGAAGGGACCCCACATAGCCAAAATAGAGAAAGAACAAAGTTGGAGGAATAACACTCACTTCCTGATTTCAAATTTTACTATAAAGCTACAATACTCAGAATAGTGTGGTACTGGCATAAGGAAAGATGATATAGGCCAATGGAATAGAATAAAGAGCCCAGAAATCTTCAACTAATGGTCAGTTGATTTTTGAGAGGGTGCAAAGACAGTGGAGAAAAAGACAATCTTTTCAACAAAAGCTGCTTGGAAAACTGGATATCCACATGCAAAAGAATGAAGTTGGACCCATACCTTATAACATATCCAGAAATTTACTCAAAATGGATTACAGACCTAATCAGAAGACCTAAATAAAATGCCTAGAAGAAAGCACACTGTCTATTCTGAATGTGCCCAATTGCATCTGATCTTGGAAGCTAGGCAAGGTCAGGCCTGGTTAATACTTAGATGGTAGAAAACACAGATGAAAACCTTCCAGGCCTTGGATTAAGCAATGATTTCTTAAGTGTGACACTTAAAGCATAAACAACAAAAACAAAAAATAAATTGGACTACATCAAAATTTAAAACTTTTTGCATCAAAGGACTCTATCAAGAGAATGAAAAGACAATCCACAGAATGGGAGAAAATATCTGAAAATCATATATCTGATAAGGGATTAATTTTCAGAATATATATAGAACTCCTACAAATCAACAATGAAACCAATTCAAAAATGGGCAAATGAGGCCTTTCTCTAAAGAAAAAATATTAATGGGCAATAAGCACAGGAAAAGATGGTTAACATCATTACTCGTTAGGTACATACAAATCAAACCCACAGTGAGATACCACTTCACACTTACAGTGGCTATTATACACACACACATACAGAACGTAACATATGTTGGGAAGATACGGAGAAATTGGATCCTTTGTGCATTGCTGGTGGGAATGTAAAATGGTACAGCCACATTGGAAAACAATTTGGCAGTTCTTCAAGAAGTTGAATATAGAATTACCATATGATCCAGCAATTTTACCCCTAGTATGCCCAAAAGGATTAAAAACAGGAACTCAGACAGATACTTGTACACAGTGTTTATAGAGGCATTATTCACAGGAGCCAAAACGTAGAAACAACCCAAGTACTTATCAACAGATTAATAGATAAACAAAGTGTGTGTGTGTGTGTGTGTGTGTGTGTGTGTGTGTGTGTGTGTGTGTACGTACGTACATATTATTCTGCCGTGAAAAGAAATAAAATGCTGATACATTCTAAAACATGAATGGACCTTAAAAATGTTATTCTACGTGAAATAAGCCAGATGCAAAAGAACAAATATTGTATGATCCCACTTATATGAGGGTATCTAGAATAGGCAAATTCATAGAGATGGAAGGTAGAATAGAGGTTATCAGAGGTTAGGGGAGGAGGAAATGAGGAGTTAATGTTTAATGAATATAGAATTTCTGTTTAGGATGATGCAAAAGTTCTGGAAATAAGGTGATGGTTTCATAACATTATGAATATACTTAATGCCACTGTATTGTACACTTAAAAATGGTTATAATGGTAAATTTTATGTTATGTATATTTTACTGTAACTTTTTAAAAAAGCCAGTGTGGAGATGTGTTGAGTAGGTTTGAGTCACAAGCATTGGCTCCCCTCAGCTACTAAATCTAACACAAAGTGAACTGTTGCTGTCCTTGGTGGGACACAGCAAGAGTGGCAGGGGGTGGCCATCTGCCACTTCTGTCTGAGGCAGATAACCGTGGTTACAGGAAGGGCCTGCACCTGGTTTCTCCCAGCTTTCTCATGCCGTCTGTCTCTGCACACCACATGGGTGATGAACTTACGATCAACCTGGAAGACTTTGACTCTAAGGGTTCCAAATTATAAATGAAGTGAAGACACCAGCAGAATGCATACCAGAGACTAGACCCAGCTGCTATTATATTAGAACAGTGTGTTCTGGAGAGCCAGGAGGGAGAGGGCAGGATGAGGCTTTTTAGGACAGACTCCAGAGGTGGCAGCAGTGGTGGCCTGGGAGCAAGGGTTAGTGGGTCTGGAGAGGCCAAGCTGCTGCTGCAGCTGCTAGGCCTGGGGCTTGGCAGGTCCCTTGGAGAGTGTGAGCATCCTGTCCTTCACCCACACTCCCTCAGGCTGGAGAGTGGGGAACGGCTGGCAGGAAGGCATTGCTCATGGAATTAAGAGGTCCCCAAAGCCAGTGATGCCACCCTGGCCTATCGAGGACCAGGCTCCCCTGGGGGCTATACAAGTGGCAGCTGCTGTGGAGTGACAGGCATGTGTTTCCTCCTCAGAAACAGACTGAATTTGATCCGATTACTGTGAAGGACTGGCCTGTCTGGGATGCCGCCTGCCACGTGGAAGGGCCAAACCCGACTGCTGCCACATGCCGTTCCCATGCCTGGCCACCGGGTACCGAGAGAGCTTCTGGAGGCCTTGAAGACAGCCCAGAGCCTGCTGCCACCCTCGGCCTGCCCACCACCAAGCAAGCAGTGAGAACAGGGTTCTCGTCAGTTCTTCGTCCCACAGTGTAGGACCTTTCCTTTGCCTTCTAGTGGATAAAATAGTTCAGATTTCATATTCATAGACACAGAATCAAGTTTTTAACATATACATCTGCCTATATACGTTAAATAAAACATCAGATTATAAACACTTTCTTTACATAGAAACTTCGGTTAGCAAAGCAGTACATCGTCCTTTACATCATCTCTGAAAATGCCCCGTGTCTGTTCTCTGGGGATTGCTGGGTCACAGGGCCCCTCACCTTCCACAGAGGGGCAAGAGGTTACAGGCACACTCAGAACTACATCTGGAACCTCCCCACCAGATGTCCCCTTTGCATTCCTAAAAGAAGCAATACCTTTGAAATGATTTCTGCTGCATTAAGTGGTGACCAGCTGTGTTTCATGCCAGGCTTGCCTTGCCTTGTGGACTGATCATTGCAAAACCCACTGTTACCCTCAGTTCAAAAAACAGACTGGCTATTGCATAGGATATTTACCACTCTCTTTAGTTGTTAGCATAATTCTGCTTTTTCATGGGAGTTTGAATCATGGACCATAACTTTTTAGTTATCAGATCAACTAAAGAAACATTTGTTGCTAAGCCAAATGTACTGACCTATGTGCCTGCCTTTTTTTTTTTTTTTTTAAATCTAGATACATTTAGAGAGGAAAATGGGAAAAAGAAACAGGGCTGAGGATGGAAGTGGAAATGGTAGAAGTGTATAGTCATAGCCTGTAGCTCTGGCCACTGTGGTTTTAAGAGCCCTTTCTCCACACTCACTTCAGAGCTTTCTATGGTTTGGGAAGAAAGAACTCACTGGCTCAGTAGTAAGAGTGAGGGCTGAAGGGCTCCCAGGGCTTTCTGGAATTATCAGAGCTGGGGTGGTCTTCAGCACAAAGACTTGCATGTGGGGGTCTTGGCCCTCACCCCACGGCCTGGCTGGCATGCTGGGTGCACACCCGGGGGGGGCGGACATCACTGCACAGGTCCCTCTAAGGATGTTTCTAAAGTTCTATATTTATATTCCCAAACTTGGAAATAAGAACTCTATCTACTTTAGCCTAACCCTCATTTTCTTTTTTGAATTGCTAAAAATCACAGGAAAAATTGTCTTGAAACATTAGAAAACTTGGTTACAGAGCTGTACTAAATGGTATATCCCCGACTTCCCCAAGGCTGGCTGCTCTGAGAGCAGTGGGCACAGAGGGGCAGGCAATAGACCTGTCACCTGTAGCTCCGCTCACCTCTTAGAAACCACCTGCTTCCCAAAGTGCCAAGCCACAGGCACCAGGGTCTAGGGGGCACACTCCCCCTGGGGCTGGATGGGAGCACTTGGAGAGCCCAGGGAGAGGGCAGGGGCTTTGGGCAGGAAACACTTGTGGTTTAGCCACTGTCCTTCTCCCCCATCCCACCAGGGAAGTAAACCCGGCAGGGCACCTTGCTGGCTTGGTTCTGAGGACGAGCTTGGTGGTAGTACCTTCTGCCTTTCAGGAAAGGGCTTTCTTTGGAAACCAAAAGTCCTGGAACCATAGTTCTTCTCAACTGTCTTCTCCTGTCCTTCCTGTCCCAATAGGGACCACCTCTTATTTGTCTCAAACAGGGGACTTGTGAGTACTTGGCAAGTTTTGCAGCCTATTTTTGTATCCTTTCCATTTTGGGAGTGAAGCTATTTGGTCCAAAAAGCCTTTGAGGAATTGCCAAGAATGGTGAGTGATTGCTTTCCTTCAGAGAACAGACACCTGGAGTTTCTCCTTTAGTGTTTATGTACATGCAGATTAATTTATATATATACATATACAGTACAAATACTCATTTGATACTCATAAAACATACATCTGATGTGTGCACTTGAGGAACTTCGTGGCACCTGGATGTTGGAAGTAGCCTGTGTTGGAGGGAATGCCAGCACCCTGGGCGGCTGGGGTGGCCCAGCATGAAGCCATCTCCAAGTGTCTGAGAAACCACCCGGTGCCTCACCTCCAAATCCTGCTGGCATCACCTCTAGAGCTCTGCGTGCACTGGCCGAAGGGTTGTGTCTATGGAGAGGATTTTCTTGGTTATTTTATTTGTATTCACATTTAATTTACAAACCAAACAGCAAAGCAGAGTAAATTACTCGGTGGACAAGTTCATGCTGTCGACCCAGCCTCAGGCACCAGCTCATCTTTTAGGTGGAAAAGTTACAGTACTGCCTGCTCCAGCACGTTTTCCCCACAGACGTTGGCCCTGCCTAACGGCCAGGGCTACACAAGACTGCCCAAGTAAGGAGCCCAGCAACCAGACAGACCCTTTTCTTCCTGTGCGCTTGGATGGGAATGAATCAGTGTGGTCTGGACCTTATGCTTGAAAGAATAAAATGATCAAAGGCGATGCTGAGGGAGGCAGTTATCAAGCAGGTGCTTTGAGGGACATTGTAGCAGGTACTCAAGGCTTTGGAGGCAAAACCCTGAAAGCAGCCAGTGGAGCAGAGAGACACCCACACTAGTGGCAGTGGGCGAGTGGGATGGCAGCAACCAGGCACGTGGCCCTGTCGAAGGATGGATCACTGGTTTTGCACACTGCTGAAGGGTTGAATTCTGTGTTGCCTTCGGGAGAAGGCGTCTGTGGGCTGCAGAGTTGAGAGGTGTGGGATAGGGTTAGTCTCTCCTGAAGAAAAAGCCTATTTTATAAGGTGACTAATCTTATCCCTCTTTTCTGTACACACTTGGACTCATCAGAGATAGTAAAAATCATCTTTCAGCATCTCTTGTTGCCTATGTCTTGTAGCTGTTTATTATGGTTTTTTTTTTTTTTTTACACTGGGTTGTACATCCAGTTCTCATAGGTGAAACCAGATCACTATTCTGATAAAGGAAATTCGAATTTATGATACGTATCTTTTGCATATTTTGATTACCTGTTTTCATTTTTGACTATAGGGAGCTTTTTGATTTGGGGAGGGGGACAGTGTCGTTTTCAGGAGTCTTGGGTTCCTGAAAAAGATGCCCTACTTGGATGGCTTGCCAGTGCTTGGGTTTGATGTGTATGTCCAAGACCGTATGACTTAGAGCTCCTTTCTCTTGGCTGAGTGACAGGGAGCTGTTCAGGTGGACAAAAGCACCTTGACCCAAGGACCTCACATCCTGCTCTCTGGTAGCAAGAGGAGGGTGTTGGGCAGAGTTGTGGGCTCTCACGTGTACTAATGGTCTTATCCCCAGCTGGCCTTGGGAGGCTGTCCCACCAGGAAGTTTGTGTTCTTCAGACTGAAATGTGGCTCTTGTGGGTTTTATCCCACTCAGTGAGTGGCCCAGTGGCAGGTCCTGTGTTCCCTCCCCCTCCCTTCTGGCTCTGGGACAGCAGGTGCTGCCTTCCATGGAGGGCGGGTGTTGGCCTTTCTGCTCGGACGCTTTGTGTGCACCCTCTCCCTCCGCTCCTGCTTATGCCATTCCTGTCTTGGGCCCTGTTGCCTCTTGAATTCCTAGTCTCTTCTTCAGCCCAAATCCTCAGATTGGAGGAGCTTTATCAATTCAAACATCACAGCCCATGTTGATAATAGCACTCTGCAGTGGAGGAGACCCAGCCAAGAAGAAAATCTTAAAACCAAATGTGGGGTTTGGGCACTTACTAAAGTCCCCCACCTTTTTTCTCGCTCAGAGTCTATCTGGGGGAGTTTATCACTTTTACTCACCTTTTGCAGAAGATGTACTTTTGTGTTAAGTTTAAAATTTAATGCATTACATTCATTTGCAAGGCTCAGTTGCATGCTGGAGAAGAAAAATCCTCTAGACACAGGAAGGTCCACACAGCCAACCCTTCTAGGCCAAAAACCAGCAGCCTGCTCAGCTCAGGTAGCAACAGGGCTTGGTTCTCCTCACTCCAGATGTGACTCCTCCTATTCAGGGTCTCTTGACCACTTCCTTCTCTCCCTGTCCCCGAAAGCACAAGCCTCTCCCAGGCATCCTGCCCAGACCATGGGGGGCCGTCTCCATGTGGCTTGGGGAGCACCGCCTCTCAGAAAATCTCCAGTGCCTGCGCAAGCAGGGAATCGTGAACTCAAGCCTTTCACCTGAGCTCCAGACCCCTCCCCAAGCAAGCCACCATGCAGTCTCCATGCAGGCCCATTTAAACGGGGCAGGGACATGGCTGAGCCATGCAACGCCAGGGCTGATGTGGCCGTGGGAGACCTCATCAGCAAAGTGACCAGTTTGGGTTTTGGTCAAGTGACTGGATGGAAGTGGCAATCGAGGTGCTGCTTGGCTTGTGGCCCAGCCCAGCTCTAAGTATAAACGGGACCAACGGGTTTCTGCTGGAATCTACTGGAACACACCAGGTCACACTGGAAGGGTAGGGTGCGGTGGAGCGGGGCTAACTTAAGTTCTCTGTGAATTGGCCCAGCACCTGCACTTAGTTGTGATGCGAAAGGAGCACATACAGAGCATCTGGCCTTAGAGAGGGTCCAGAGCCTGCTTTCTGGTCCTACGGTCCTGAGCTCTCATCAACACTAGCCAGCTGTCCTGTGACCTACCCATAGATCTGACTTCTTTGAATGGGGCCCAGTCCTTCACCAGACTAGAGATATGACAGTGAAGAGTTTTCTTTTTAGCCCTGGCTGGATCCAGCAGGAGCCATCCATTCTAACTTCCCTGAAGTCTGGGACAGGGGAAGGAACCCAGAGGCTGGGGAGGAGACTAAGCAGACCATGGTTACCATATGGACAAGGACGGGGCAAGCACCCCTTTCTTTGATTTTTAAAAATGACATCTTTTGCTTTACAGAACTGTGAGGATTCACAAAGAATGTATAGTTACTGCTTTGCTGTCGCTGGTCCCAAAGCTTTCACAGCCCTCAGAACCTGGCCCTTGTGGCTGCTCCAGCCGGAGTCAAGCAGAACAGAGGGCAGAGGGAGCACGGTGAGCAGGGTGGCCACTCTGGTGGGGACCCTGGGTGTCTTCCCTGCTGTCCACTCAGATAGGTGGTGAGTCCCAGGGTACCCGAGAGGAGCCAGTGTTTACCTGCCATTAGTGCCTCCTTCTTCAGGAGACCGGCATGGGGAGTGTACGTGTGCGCACGCACACTCAGGCACAGATGAGCACCTGTGCGTGTGAATAGCTTTTCTTGGTTAATGCTTTTTAAACTTCTCCTTTCCATGATGAGTGGATGATTTAAAATTATTGAATGTGACTGGAGTTGAAGGCGCAATCTCTAGGATGAAGGCTGAATAATAGAAAGCTGCAAGTGTTGCTCTTTCTAAGAGTCAAACCCAAGGAGAAACACTGTTAAGAGGGGAAGCATCTACCATGTGGTACCTATTTGTCCTGTAATTTGTGTTTAACACATTAACTGACATGTGAGTTGTATTTAACTCATGCTAGTTTTGAGTCCAGGGCCTCGTGAAGCATATGTAACTCACATGCCTCTACCTTGGGAGCCATGTGAACTATTTTTCAAGTTGCATATAACTCATGCACAGAAAACAGTAAAAAATTTTTTCATTAAATTAGAAAGGATCATTTTGTTTTCAAGGTTTTTATTCTATTTTCGTAAAAAAATACCATGGCCCCAGGAGGAAAAATTTTTTTTCTAGTGTGGCAGTCAATGTGTTAAAGAGAGATGTCACTCATCTC